GTAGTCTGGGATCCTTCGGTTAACTAAGTACGTGAATAGCAACAACTTGTAGTCTGGGATCCTTGGGTTAACTAAGTACGTGAATAGCAATAACTTAGTCACGTGATAAATATAAAACAATAGCATGAACTGGTCAATTAAACAACCAAGATAATATATATATAAGGGATCTACAATGGAGCTCAGGCCCGCCGACAAGGGGGTCAAAGGGGCAACTGCAAGGGCCCGCGCGAATGAAACCTGGTTATGCCGTAAAGCCCGCAAAGCATCTTTAGGCTATATCTTCATTTAATGATAAAAACCATAGTTTCTTGCTTTTCTTTGCATATAGACGTTTGATACATTAAGAACGACTGAAATAATAATTTGAGTAATAATTAATATGTATTTGTTACTTTATAGATTTAATAGATATTTGTTGTTACTTTATTAAAGTTTTTACGCTTATGCTGTGAGGTAAAAACGGCTGCTGTTATGATTTTGTTTGGTTTATGAGCTCGTTGCTGCTCTAATTTAGGATCTTCTTTTTAATAAATTCTTGAAAATGTTAAAAAAGAGAAAGAGAAAGTGGGCCCGTGCTGGCTCTCGACGTTCCTGTTGGAGCTTAACATGTTTACAGCACTATAAGAGTAACAATCAGTCTTGTTACTCCGTTTAAAGCTGGACAAAGCCCTTGTGGCGGGAAGTGCTGCTGATTGATTGTCTTCCATCTCGTCAGGAGTTCAAAATAAAGGACGATTATGTTTAGGGATCTTGTTTAGGCTTACCGTTAAGGTTAGAAATACAAATACCAGTAGCATGACGTCATCAGCGAACCAGACGTGCTTATCTATGTCAAATATACGTTTTAATACGGTTGTTCTACAGCGACTTTAGATAATAACTCTGCTAAAGCTAATATGTTTTTAGGAATGTTGATATGAGAACTGCTGCGTCAGTAAGTCACTCTCGTTCTGTGTCAAGGGCGTGGCCGTGTTGTTCATCAACTTGTCATGAGTACATGTAACATAACTAAAGGGAAGCCAATAATGGCTTTGTTTGGATCTTTCAAGTGGGTAAGTGGGTTAAATGGGCAAGTCGGAGTGGATTAGATATCCTTAAGTTTGAACTAAAGAAAAGCCAATAATGGCTTTGTTTGGATCTTTCAAGTGGGTACATGGGTTAAATGGGCAAGTCGGAGTGGATTAGTTATCCTTAATTTTGAACTAAAGAGAAGCCCATAATGGCTTTGTTTGGACCTTTCAAGTTGGTAAGTGGGTTAAATGGGCAAGTCGGAGTGGATTAGTTATCCTTAATTTTGAACTAAAGAGAAGTCCAATAATGGCTTTGTTTGGATCTTTCAAGTGGGTAAGTGGGTTAAATGGGCAAGTCGGAGTGGATTAGTTATCCTTAATTTCGAACTAAAGAGAAGCCCATAATGGCTTTGTTTGGATCTTTCAAGTTGGTAAGTGGGTTAAATGGGTAAGTCGGAGTGGATTAGTTATCCTTAATTTTGAACTAAAGAGAAGCCCATAATGGCTTTGTTTGGATCTTTCAAGTTGGTAAGTGGGTTAAATGGGCAAGTCGGAGTGGATTTGTTATCCTTAATTTTGAACTAAAGAGAAGACAATAATGGCTTTGTTTGGATCTTTCAAGTGGGTAAGTGGGTTAAATGGGTAAGTCGGAGTGGATTAGTTATCCTTAATTTTGAACTAAAGAGAAGACAATAATGGCTTTGTTTGGATCTTTCAAGTGGGTAAGTGGGTTAAATGGGTTAGTCGGAGTGGATTAGTTATCCTTAATTTTGAACCAAAGAGAAGCCAATAATGGCCTTGTTTGGATCTTTCAAGCGAATAACGGGAATTACTTTTATAACGTGGCCACAGCTGGAAGCACAGAGTGTGTTCAGCAACATCGAACCTTGGACCCTTCAATCCGCAGCCAAGCACACCACTAGATCATGTCCAGGCCTGATATAGTTTAAAATTTTTTTGAAGTATGACTGTACCTTTCTCATATTAAAACAAATATATATTTGTTACAAGCAGTAAATAAAACAACAAACGTGTATGATATCTTATTTACCACTTCTGAATAAGGGTTTGTTTTTGTCAAAAAGGTACCCAGTATACGAGAAACCAACAGAATGGGCCTAATACTTCTTAGACCACTTACCTGCTTCCGTATTTTTAGACTCGTCTCAAAAAATATAAGACGAGAATTTGCTAGAAGCATAAAAGTTACTGTCGCATATGATTGGGGCCAGGCGTGGCCATGCGGTTAGCATTCTTGTTAATTCGATTTAGAAATTATACAGAAACGAGCGCAGCACTACGAGGTGTTTTTAATAACTTAATTCTTTACAGGTCCGGTAAGGTAGCTTGAACAACTCAGTAAGTCAAATGATCTAACTCGATTGTTCTCTAATTTACTCATTCTGTATTTTGTAGTTTTATTGTATTTTCTACCTCGTGTAGGGGGTCTACTAGTTAGTCAGCATTCCTGGGTTGTTATATTCAGGTATTCATGGCTTGCGTCCACAAAAACTCCCTCCACACTTTGGGGCCGTGGACGTTCTTTAAGAATGACGGTCAGATCTCACTTTTCAGTCAGGCAAGAGTAGCCCAAGAGTTAGCAGTGGTTGTTGTTGACTGTAGCTGTCTTTATAACAAAATAGGCAAGGGTAGCCCAAGAGTTAGCAGTGGTTGTTGTTGACTGTAGCTGTCTTTATAACAGAATAGTGAGGCGAAGGTAGCTCAAGAGTTAGCAGTGGTTGTTGTTGACTGTAGCTGTCTTTATAGCAGAATAGTCAGGCGAAGGTAGCTCAAGAGTTAGCAGTGGTTGTTGTTGACTGTTCCTTTCTTTAT